TTGCCCAGGGTCACACAACTAGAGTCAAGTGTTTGGTCTGATGTCAGATTTGAACTTAGGTCCTTTTGACTTCAGGGTCAATGCTCTATCCACTGCGCCACCTAGCTGCCTCTTGCCTTTACAATTTTTAAAAAATACATTATTTATGTTTAGCATTCTTTTCTTCTTAAGTTTTGAGTTCCAGATTCTCTCCCTTCCTCTTCCTCCCTCCCACACCCACTGAGAAGGCAAGCAATATGATATCAATTATACATATGAAATCGTGCAAAACATTTCCATATTACCCATACTGCATAAAAAAAGGCTATAGCACAGTAATATTCTGTAACAATTATATGCTACAACTTATTCAGCCATTTCCCAATTGATAATCATCTTCTTGATTCCCAGAGCAGCTAGGTGGCACGATGGATGGAGTGCTGGGCCTGGAATCAGGAAGACATCATCCTGAGTTCATATCTAGCCTTAGACACTTAACTAGTTGTGTGACCCTGGACAAGTGACTTAACTCTGTTTACCTCCATTTTCCTCATTTGTAAAATGATCTGGAGAAGGAAATGGCAAACCATTCCAGTGTCTTTGCCAAGAAAACCTCAAATAGGGTCACGAAGAGTTGGACATAACTGAAAACTCTCCGTTTCTAATTCTTAGCTACCACAAAAAGAGCCGCTATAAATATTTTTTACATATAGGTCTTTTTCCTTTTGATCTGTTTGGGTTACAGACCTATTTGTGATGATGCTGGGTCAAAGAGTTTGCATGGTTTTAGTTTGGTCATAGTTTCAAATTGTTTTCCAGAATGGTTGGATCAGTTCACTACTCCACCAGCAGTTCATTAATATACCTATTTTTCCCTTGTCTTCTCCAGCATTTGTCATTTCTGCTAGATATGAGGTGGTCCCTCAGAGTTGTTTTAATTTGCATTTCTCCTATCAATATTAATGTACAGCATTTTGTCACATGTCTATAGATGGCTTTGATTTCTTCTGAAAACTGCTTGTTCATATCCTTTGACCATTTATCAGTTGGGGAATGGGTTTTATTTTCATGAATTTGATTCAGTCTTATACTTAGTATATATTTGAGAAATGAGATATTTTTCAGAGAAATGTGAAAAAATTTTTTTAATAAATATTTAATTGTCTCTGGTACCTTTTACAAAATGTAGTTTTCCCTGATTATTTCTTTTAATTAGGTCTATTTTTCCTTTTGCTTTTTCTGAGATCATGATCGCTACCTGTTCCTTTTTTACTTCTGCTGAAGAATATTAGATTCTGCTCCAGGCCTTTATTTTAACTCTGTATCTTTTTGTTTCAAGCGTGTCACTTATAAACAACAGGTTGTTGTATTCTGGTTTCTAATCCATTCTACTATCTGCTTCTGTTTTATGGGTGAGCCTACCTCATTCACTTTCACAGTTATGATTAATGTGTATTTCCCTCCATTCTATTTTCCCATTTTCTTGTTTCTTTCTGTCTCTTTTTATCCTGTTCCTCAAAAGTCTTATTTTTCTTCCAACCACTGCCTCTCTTAATCCACCCACCCCTGTATTACTCCCTTGCCTCCCTCTCCCTCTCATCTTTTCCTCTTCTCCTATTTCCCTATTTCTATGCAGAGCTGGGTGTTTATATTCATTCTTCCCTCTTTAAACCAATTGTCATGAGAGCAAGGTTCAAACATTGCCAGCCACCTCCCTCTTTTCCCTTTCGTTTTAAAAACTTTTCCTCATGTGCCTCTTTTATGTGAGAAAAATTTCCCCATTCTACCTCTCCTTTTCCCCTTCTCCCAGTGCATCCCTCTTTCTCACCCTCTTTCATTTTTTTGGAGATCATTCTAACATAATCATACCCATGCTCTCAGTCTCTGTAAACTCCTTTTCATTTCCCTAATAATGCTAAAGTTCTTAGGAGTTACATGTATCATCTTGCCATACAGTTTAACTTTATTAAGTCCCTTATGAATACTCTTTCATGTTTACTTTTTTATACTTGAATCTTGTGTTTGAATGTCAGATTTTCTACTCAGTTCTGGTCTTTTCATTAGGAATGTATGAAAGTCCTTGATTTCATTAAATGTCTATTTTTTTCCTTGAATGTTTACACTCAGTTTTGCTGGGTAGGTGATTCTTGGTTATAATCTTAACTCCTTTGCCTTCAGGAATATCTTATTTCAACCCTCTGTTCCTTTAATGTAGAAGCCTCTATATATTGTGTGGCTCCACAATATTTGAATTGTTTTATTTTCTCTTTAACCTGGGAGCTCTGGAATTTGGCTATAATATTTCTGGGAGTTTTCATCCTCTTTCAGGAGGTGATCAGTTGATTCTTTCAATTTTACCCTCAGGATCTAAGATCAGGGCAGTTTTCCTCAATAGTTTATTCAAATGTGTTTTCTTGGCTTTTTTTTTTTTTTGATCATGGCTTTCAGGTAGCCCAATAATTCTTAAATTATCTTAAATTACCTCTTGTCCATCTGTTTTCTGATGAAATATTTCACTTTTTTTATTTTTTCATTCTTTTGACTTTGTTTTATTGTTTTTTTTATGTCTCATGGAGTCACATATTTTTGTTGAAAGAACTTTGGAGAACATAAGGACATTGTTGGCTGCTGGAAAGAAACCTGAAATTATGTAGTTAGAGGACATAAGGTCAAATCCCAATGTTCTCCCAAGGTACTGTGTCTTAGGCCTTCTTTCTTTTTTGTATCCTTTCTGTTTTCTCTTGGTGACCTCATCATCTCCTGTGGATTCCATTAATTCCTAAGCAGATGATTCTTTTTGATCCATTCTTCTGGTTATACTTTTCTTTCCTCCACACTCAAATCGCTAATTGCCTGTTGGCCTTCTGGAACTGAATGTCTTGTAGATAACCTTAGCCCCAATATGTCCAAAACTGAACTCATCCTTACCTCCCAAAACTTCTCACCTCCCTCATTTCCCTATTACTGTTAACTGGACCACACCCAGGTTCACAACCTCAACTCCTAACTTTCTTCTACTCCAAATCCAATCAATTACCAAGTCCTGTCACTTCTATCTTCTCAAAATGTCTCATATGAGCCCCCATCTCTCCTGATACTTCCATTGTCCCTGCCTAAGCCCTAATCACCTCATATCTGGACAATTTCAATAGCCTTCTGGTTAGTCTCTCTGCCTGAAATCTCTCTTTAGCCCTGTTCATCGTCCACCTTTTGTCAAAGTGATCTTCCTGAAGCACAAGTCTGACCATGTCACCTCTCCTATTTAGCAAACTCTAGTGGTTCTCTTTATCTCCAAGGATCAAATATAAAGTTTATTGTTGGACTTTCAAAGTCCTTCAAGAAATTTGGTTTCTTTTTTCCTTTTCAATCTTTTTATGTCTTACCCCATCCATGCACATCCACTCCAGCTTAGGATTTCCTGAATTTTTATTGGTTGTCCTCTATTCCTGGAATGTTCTCTTTTCTCTGCCCCTGGCTTCCATGACTTCCTTCAAGTTTTAGCTCTCAGCTAAAGTCCTACCATGAGGACTTTACTGATACCCCTTAATTCTAGTGACTTTCTCTCTGAAATTACCTCCAGTCTATCCTCTTTGTGTGTACATATGTATGTGTGGGTATCTTGTTTCTATATAGCTGTATATTAGATCATAAGCTTCTTGATGTTAGGGATGTTTTTGCCTTTTTTTGTATCCTTAGTGCTTGAGTACAGTGCCGAGAACCTAGTAGGTACTTAATAAATGCTTGTTGACTTGACTACTACCTATTTTAATGTGAGATCTTATGTAAGTTGCCTAACCTCTTTGGCCATTCACTGATGCTTTTGGAGTAATATGCCACTTACTAGACTATAAGTCCATGAAGGCAGGGACTATATTTTGTCTAAACTTAGTATCAGACATGGTAACCAGGGCAGTGCTCTGAACATAGTATAAATTGATTAGTACTCATTTATGGTTGAACAGAAGGGCTACAGTTAGTACATGGGACAGAACAGACATTTTTTGAAGCTATCTTCTGAAAGCTTCAGAAACTGTTTACAAGTTAACATTGCAATGAGTCATCATATGTAAGCATTGCAACATGCAATTGAACAAACAAAAGACAACTGGGGTCACAAAAGGAAGAGATGGAAATTGCTGAAATATTGTTTTTATTGATTTTGAAATCATTTCTTTCTATGTAGATCATTTCCCATGTAGCGACATCTATCCTTGTGCATTTGACCCTGCTGAAATTAGGAAGCCATTTATGGTTATTCAAAACTATTTGAGTTAGCAATTCTTGAGTTAAGATCAGTAGTCAAGACCAGCCCTTGACTGAATAGAAACTAATTGGACTGTCATTCCCTGCCTATTAATATCATCAAAGTAAAATTTTCAAAGCCTAAATGGGAGATATGAATTCTTAAAAAATTGCTTTTCCATCAGAGCAAAATGGACCTCATATTACTAAAAACTCACTTTTAAATTATATTAACACATTTTAGTTTGTAGTCATTCTCTTCATTTGGCAAGGGCTTTTACTTAAATTAGAATAGAATTCATTATGTTACACACAATCCATGGCAGTAACAAAGTTATTTGCCTTTAGTTGTGTATTAATAATGCTCAGATGCCTCCAAATATTTGTACTAAATGTATTGAAGACTTCCAATAACTTTACCTTTGAAATTGCTACATTAAGGGAAATAAGCAGTATTTGGGAACCATGACAGTATTTTGACATCCATTAAACTTTGTAATGAATTTGCATTCATATGTGAGAGTACTAAAAGAAGATTTAATATCTTTTAATACTAAAGACAAGGAAGTATAGAAACCTTATCATTTTAGATCTTTGTGCTATTCACTTTCTTGCCTTCCAAAAGAATACACTTGCAGCCATTCCTCTCCCAACCACCTCCTCCCCGTCAGCTTTTAAGAGCAGTTTTGAATGTGCACTGAATGGTAAAATTAGAAATGCTTTTGTTAAAGTTGCAACCTTACAGCACATTGAAAATAAATATATTCTTCATTTTACAGAAAACGTATGTTTCAGAAGCGATGGGTGAAATTTGATGGCTTTTGCATTTCTTATTACAATAATGAAAAGGTAAGTGAACTTCATGAAATAGCGTTTACTCATTTTTCTCTTCTTTGGATCATTGTCTGTGTAACACCATCTCTTGTGTAATAGCACTCTGTGTATTATGCTGATTTTTTCCCAGATATGAACTGGCACTGGCCAGAGGGTTTGCAATATCAGGTTCTTGTGTTAACTCTAAAAGACTGCACTCCTAATCCTTTAGCTCACAAACCTATACCCACAGGCTTCCTATTAACAATCAATCAGGCAGCAGATAAAATTAGCTCTTAGCTAAGGCTTTTACTAAAATAGTTTTGTACGAAATTTAGGCATTAAACATTCCTGCTATAAATTGAAAGTGCACTTTTCCATTGATATAAACAGCACCAATAGGAAAAGTGTGCTCAAACTTAGAGTACAGTAGTAATGAGGGTACAGGACAGGAGTGAAGTGTGTGTCTTTGCCTCCTACTCACAGGGTGCAGTGACTTCCACTCATTCAGTAGGTTTCCTTCAAAGCCACATGGCCAATGGGAGTGAGGAGGAGAAATTCCTTTCTTTACTGCTGCTTTGGTCTTCCACACAGGCAATTCCAAATCTGTAATATCTCCCACTTTTGAACTGATGAAATTTGCCTACAGCTTAGCTATTTAAAGCTCCCAAAGTGATCACAGGATGTTATAACTTATTAACAAATTAAAACTGCATCTTGTGTGACCATATTCTGTGAGTATATCAGCTGAGCTGGAGGTAGTGGGATGGCACGTCATGTCCTTCTCATCTTCCACCTCTAATCATCATAGTCACGATAATGATAGTGGTAGCTGATTTCAATATAGCATTTTTTAGAGTTTACAAAGCAACGTGTATATGTTACTGAGTTTTTAAAGTTTGTAACTATCTTGTGACTATGGTAAGACAGGTATTATCTCCTTTTTACAAATGAGGAAAATTAGATTCAGAGAAGTTAATAGTGGAGACAGAATTCAAACCCAGATTTATCTGACTATAAGTACAGCACTCTGTGTACTATGCTGATTTTTCCCTCTCCTATACTATGGCTTCTTTCTCTTTCTCTATTATGTCATGAACAATATTGACAGTGACTCAGCAATTACATCTGCATACTTTGAATTTCCTGGGATGTGTTTCATCTGGGCCTGGCGATTTGAACTCGTTGAAAGCAGCTGGATAGTATCCCTTTATAATGAGTTAACTATTAACCATTTTTGTTTCATATTTCTCAGTCTAGGGGTCATTCTTGTTGTAGAGAAAGTACAAAGAAAGTAGAAGATAGAACTGCTCAGATCTTATCTGTCATATTGAGAGAAGATGGTGTGTGCGTGTGTGCATGAGTGCCATGTGCATATGCATGTGGAGGGTGTGTGCATGTGTCAATGTGAGCATGTGTGTGTTTTCAACAAGACTGCTTTAGAGTCTTCCTTATTTTCTAAAATCAACCCATTTTAGAACTTAGATTATCAATTATTTAAATGCTTAAATGGACCACAGGTGCATAGATTTAGAATTCAAAAAAGCTTTAGAGATTATTGAATTTGGAACCCTCATTTTATAGATGAGGAAACTGAGTCCCAGAAAGGATTCCCCAGCTAGTGTCAGAGTTAGGGATCATTCCCAGTCTTGTAGACTCCTAGCATTCTAGCTGCTATGCCATTCTATGTCTTATTAATGAAGAACTTCCTTCAGTGATAAAGATTGCTATCCATCTATGCCTACTCATTCTGTGTGATGCTTGTTAATGTCTTCCCCAAAGTTTGCCGTGGTGGTGGTGGTGGTGGTGGTGGTGGTGGTGGTTGTAGTGGAGTACCCGGCCAGCCCATCTTCTCTTTCTGTCATATGTTTCCCTGACAACATCTTTTATTCCTTGCCCTTAGGAGTTTCTCGTTGGTTATATGCCTAATTACACCCACTTTACACCTCCCCATTGCCTTTTATGCTATATTCATTTTAAGTTCTTTGGAGACTGCTGTCTTTCATATCTTGTTGTCACACAGAAAGACCAGACTTAAAGAGGTAAGCCTTAGTTTTCCAGGTAGCTAGATGCCTCAGGAAATAGAGTGCTGGGCCTAGATTCAAATCCTTAAAGCATTATACAAATAAGTTAAAATGTCCTCTAAAATTCTATCCAACTCTAAGGTGCTATGATTCTGTCATTAGGTTCTCTGGAACTAAAAGCAAAAGCAAAATTGATTCAGAGATCTCTCTGAAGGCAGGAACAAGAGATGGCTAGTGATAGCTCTTATTAATATCACTTATGTAGCTGTATAACACTTCACTTTTTCATCAATTTTCTGTTATCTCATTTTATCCTGAAACTACCCTATGAATTTAGAGTGCAAGTAGGGCACATAGCTGATGTTCAATGTTTGTTGAATAAATGAATAAGCAGATGAATTGTTATCATTGTTTCCATTGTTCTGGTGAGAAAACTTTTTACCACGCCTAAAACTGGCAAGAAATCCCATTTTCCCATTTTCTGTTTTCATTGGTAAAAAAAAAAATAATATCCTTTGACATTTATGAAAAGGTGAAAGGGGAATGAAGAAACAAATATACCTCTACATTTCTTTTGACTTATTCTTGAAGAGGAAAGCAAGCTTAAAATTTGTAAAAGTGGGCCATACTTTACTAAATGTTTGGAAATCCCTTCAGTCAACAAACAGATGAAATTTCTAAAAACTTTTTTTTTCTTTCTGAGAGGTCTAGTGTCATCTTCTAATTATCTCATAATGACAAAATACCAGAAGAAGCTGGCAGAGGCATGCTGACTGGGAGAGTGAGAGAGGGGTAGAGAGATGTCAAGTCCTGAATTAAGCCAACTTTTTTACTTCTGAATAGGGCATTTAAACATCGGAGGATCCTGAAGGTCACTCAAAAATGAATTGGCATGCCCTTGGCTACTTTACTTTTTGACTGGCCTCTAGGTCCCCAGAACAGTCCTCCTATAAATAATGGGTAAAATGATTTCACCCAAACCTACCATCACTGGACCAGATGGTTTCAACTTCAACACTCCCACTTCTTATGTATAATAAAGCAGTGAAGCCTTAGGGATGCAGTAGTTAGGGTTTTTAATTTGGGGTATTTCTGTAACTCAAATGTAGGTGCTTAAAGGCTACTCCAGTGAAGCCCAAGGCCTATACTAAGGTAAGAAGCCTTCAAATGCCAGCCTGGTAACAAATGATGCATTCTTTCTCTCAAAGACCAGCTCAGAAAGATTCTTCCCCAGAAGTCTGAAGATGATGAATTTGTCTGACCACATTAACTTGTGAACATCATATTTAGAGATGGACTTTAATCTCCAATAGTGAAAGAGTTACCTAAACCAATAAAATCATGAATCATTGAAAATTTAAAGCCTATGTCAAGAATTGCCATTTATAAATACTCGTCTTTAGATGAACTGAAATCCTCATTTCTCAATATGCTGTTTCCATTAAAAATAACATAGTCTTCCAAGAATATCTGGTGATCCTTCAAGGAAAGATATTCTGCATGGGAGTGGGTAGTATTTTTCTAAAGAATAAGTTTGAGGGAAGAGGCTGGAGGACTAGCTTAACAGATAAGTTAGCAGTGACGTGTTTATTGGAACTGTAATACCAACATCAGCATCATCCTAGCCCACGTACTGCATCCTACTCTCCATCAAATTTGTGTCGTACTTTGGTCTGATAATAAACATACTGCAAGGCAGTTTAATATGCAGACTGTCATTTACTTATACGATTTGCTACAATCAGAAAGGAAACAGGTTTGAACTAGTAGTTAAGGAAGAAATACATGACCAGGTTTTTAAATTAGGTGCCCTTTAGAAAAGTAGCAAAACAAAACTCTGTGTTTTTATCTAAATAAAATCCCATCGCTCTCTTGTTCTTGGCAACCTAAAGCTAAACAACTTCAAATGCAAATATCTACAAAATATTTGGAGATGGTGTTACTTCTGGGTGTTACTTCCTGAGAACATACTGCCTTTTTTGCACCTTGATTTAAGAATCAAGATGAAAAAAATGGCCAAGTATGGTGATTGCTAGTGAGACCACAAAATCCTGTTTCTCAGGGTGAGTGGTGCCACATAATGAGACAATATTAAAATATATATCACAACTATGGTAATATATGAGTGAGAATCAGTAGTCCTATTGTAAAAGACAACAAAAAACTTTCTCATAACATCTCTAATACTCCATATCACTATTTTTGCCAAAGTAAAGATTACCGTCTGTAAACTGAAACTTGAAAAATGAACTAAAAGTCAAACCAAAAGTTAAGGAAACTCTAAAGTACATGTTTAAGGAAAAGGCTGAAAGCATAAACTGATTATCTTCTTATCAATCCTCCAAAATAGTATGTTTATTTTAAATCAGTTTTAAATGTAAAAAATAATTAATTTAATAATGTTTCTCCAAAAATTGGATTCATATTACTTCTGATATATTATACATAATTCAGGTAGATATAGATTTTGTTTTTTACAAGTTATGTGTTATTGTAGCCAAATGGTTAAAACCCACTGGTGAATATGCAGAAAGTAGGCTTAAGTCCAAATAATGGCTCCTTCCAGAAGCCAGAGATCATTGTTGTCAACCAAAAGAGACTGTTACTTCAATAGGACTGTATGGATCAGAGAGGGACATTAGGGTTTTTGAGATCATTTAATCATGGATTTAGAGCTGGAAGTGACCTTAGAATGCATCAAGTTTAACCCCCTCATTTTACAGATGGGAAAGCTGAGGCCTAGAGAGGTTTGCCCAGGATCACAGAGTTAGGGTCCGAGGCTGGGATTTGAACCTAGATTTTCCCAACTTCACATCCAGTGCCTTATCTGTGACACCACAAGTTGTGATTTCTTTAGTGACAGGGATTGCACTTTCTCAGACTACATCATGTTCAATTGTTGCACAGCTTGATTATTCTGAGGTTTCTGATATTGCAAGAGACACAGTTCTAACAATTAGAGCAATCTAAAAAGTGTGGGCTGCTTCAGGAAGTCGTGGCTTCCCTTTCACTAGAGTTATTTCATTGAGTGAATTATTCAGTTATCAGTTGGTCTCTTCCACGTCTGAAGTTTTGTGATTCCTCTTCCTCCTTTTCTCCCCCCCAAACCCCCCACAAGTTACATTAGTCTTCTAATTGGTTTCCCTCTTGACTCCGCTGCTGAAATTACCTCCCTAATGCACAGATCTAATCATGGCATCACTGTATTTAGAAAACTTTTGTGAATTCCTTTTGCTTCTAAAATCAGATATGTTATACCCTGGCTTGACATTTAAGGTTCTCTACAGTCTGACTTCCACCTCCCTTTGCTGACTCATTTTATATTACTCCCATTCACATACCATATATTTCAACTGAACTGAACTAAGAGTTGTCTTTTTAATTTGTCTTGTTTCCTGCCTCTATTCATTTGTCAATCTTTGAGAACACTTTTCATCTTCATCTATAGTTATTGAAATCTCTTTCTTCAAGAACCAATTCAAGTGCCATCTCAGTCTATAGAATTTCTTAAGCTCCCCATCCCCAAGGCCACCAAAAGTATTTGCTCTGCCTTATACTTTTTTTCCCCTGTACTATTCCTTCTTTGCCTTTGTCATACTTTAGAGGAGTGGTGTCAAACTCAAATAAAAATGCCATTAATCCATAATAAGGATCCCTCAAGGCCATATATTGACTTAGTTTTAAAATGTAATGGTATCTGTATTTTATTATATTTTAATTTTGTTAAATATTTCCCAATTACATTTTAATCTGGTTTGGACTGCGTGAAGGAGTGTTGTGGGATACATATTCAGCCTGCATGCATGTTTGACACCTCTGCTCCAGAGGGTAATAGCTGTGTCGTTTTCCCTGCCCCTTTTCTCCCCTCCTCCTTCCCCTTCCTTTTTCCCTTTCCCTCTCCTTATCCTCCTCCTGTTTCCTTTTCTTCTTCTCCTTCTCTTCATCTCTTATCTTCCCCTTTCCTCACTTCCATTTTTCCCTTTCTCCCTCTTCTCCTTCCCTTTCGTGCTTCTTCAGTCTTTCCCCCTTCTCCTTTTCCCTTTCCTCCTCTTTTTTCCTCCCCTCTTTCTGTGCCTCCTCCTCCCTCCTTACCCTCCCCAAATCCCTTCTCCTCCTCTTCCTCCCCCACAGTGCCCACTTCAGTATTTGATATACAGCAGATGCTTAATAAAAGCTCATATTTGAATTAGAAACTAAATGACCATCTCTCAGTTGAAGAGGGGATTTCGTCTTGTATGAGAAAGTAGATTGTTGCCTTTTGTAAACCTAATAGCATTCCATAAATAGCTGATAGGTATGAGTATCACTGTCGTGTACATGGGTTTTTTATTGTAAACAGCCAACCTTTTTTGAATTTATTTTATGATTTTCTATAGATATTGAAGTATTAAATGTAATTTTAATTTTAAAAATTCCTACTATGATCCACTTACTTAAGATAGCTAAAATTCAATAAGAAGACTATTTTAGGTGCTTAGATTTAGGTGATTTTTCATAGCTGATAGAGAAAAATAGACAAATGTGAAACATTTTACTTACAGTACCTGTGATAGCCAGCAGATGCCTGCAAACACCATAAAATAATTGTGAATGAGCTACTTAGAGAGCAGAGTCATGGAACAAATTCACTGCTGTTTCTTGAGGTTTGTGAGGTTTCTTGGAGTAGGTTTGTGTTTTTAAGTGACCAGTTGAGATAGAACAGAATACATAGAAGAAGAAATAAGAGAGATGTTATGATTCTTTAGATACTCCATTAGTGTGGGCATACATTACCATCTTTGGGATTGACAATGAGATCACAAAATGAAATTTGGCATTATATTTCAGAATAAGGGCAGTTGAGTTTCATTAATGCTGCTACTGTGTCTTTCTTCCCAAAATATAGGAGGTATATTCAAAAGGAATAATTCCTCTCTCTGCTGTATCAACAATTCGGGGTCAGGGAGACAGCAAATTTGAAGTTGTAACATCACAAAGGACTTTTGTATTTAGAGTAGAAAAAGAAGGTAAGTTTAATTTCTCAACACTATAATTTAAAAAAAAATTTTAAAAGTTCACACTGATGTCTGCATTTATGTATACAGCACATGATTTATAAATATCTGATTACATGATAAATTATACCAAGTTTTGGGAATAGGTTTTAAAAGTATCTTTTTTTTGAGATCTTTTGAGTACCATAAAAATTATGTTGTGATGAATTAGTTGCTTCTTGATTCCATTTTGTTAACATCTAAACAAAGGATGAGAATTTTTTAGCACTAACAGATATAATATTTTTCTATATTTGAAAAAATGACCCTGTGCAATTTTGGCTTTGAGTAGTTTTGTGTAAAAAGTTAAAGGTATTTTACCTTAACTATTAGATTTTGTTCTGACTTCATATGTATCCTAACAAACACCTTCATATAACCACCCAAAAATACATTCCCTCAAAACAAGTTGGAACCAGCAGCACAAGTCCCCTTCATGTTGTTTCTTCCTATGCCCCAATGAAAAGGAAGGATGCATTTTTTAACTTACATTGTTAGACATTTTATTTAACCTAAATTTTGTTGCATTTTACTTCTTTCTTTATTTGCTTTGGTAAAATCATATAGATTGTCCTTACATTTGTGCTTTCTTTATTCTGCATTAGTTCATATAAGCCTTTCCAGGTTTCTCTGAATTCTTGATATTTATTATTTTTATGGAACAAAGAGTATATTCCATTACCACAATTTGTTCAGTCTTCCCAAATCATTGGATACTTAGTTTGCCTGTAGTCTGAATTAATATAAGTGATTCTGATAGGAATTTTTTTTTTTTGTAAAAAGGCATCTTTTCTTCTAGGCACTGATCTCTTTGGATTATAAATACATTAGTAGGATCTCTGCAGCATGGGCTACGAACAACCTGATAACTTCTTGCTGAATTCCAAATTGTATTCCTTATTGGTTAGAATGATTCATAGCCTCACCAGCAGTGAATTAGCATGCCTGTCTTATTTTGGGACAGTTTAGTATTTAAAAATGAGCAAATAAATTTTTCAAGGTCGCTGGTTTGGCAAGGAGTGTTACCTTTTCACAAAAAAAAATTCATTGATTCATCTGCTATGAGTCACTCATTAGAATAAACTATTTAAAAGTAAGACAAAGTTAATAGTTGAAGTCTAAGTTTTATATTGTATAACTCCCCTATTAGCCACAAGTTGGTGTTCTTTGTTAAATTAGCTCTGTTAAATATTAAAATCCCATATTATAAAACCTCTGTAGATTGTACAGAATATGGGGAGTTATAGTTTGAGTCAGAGGGAGAAAAATTCCAAAGTAGTCCTAAAATATATGTATTTTGCTTATTTTCAGGTACATAAAGTAACCAAAATGTGGCTAATGCATTATTGCCCTAGGCAGTGTGCTGCTTTGTCAATAGTAATACAGACTTATATTTTGCAACATTTGTTATTTTTGATTTCTCTGTCACTGCTTACTTCCTATACTCTACCAGATGCTTTATCTCCTTTGATCATCCCAGCAAACCTGTTATTGGCAGATTAGATATTGTTGTTCTTATTTTATAGACAAGGAAGCTGAGGCTGAGAATTTAAGTTGTAGAAAACAGCTGAGGTAATAGTGAAAGTAACAATGGATTTGGAGTCAGAAGATGTGGGTTTGAACGCTAGGTCTGCTCATTTATTAGTTGAGTGATTGTGGGTTAGTCATTTAACTTCTCTGAACATCAGTTTACTTAATCTGTTAAGTGGGTATAATCATGTTTAAACTGGGTCTCACAGGTTTGTTGTGAGGATTAAAAAGATAGACCTGAAGTGCTTTGTAAACTAATGCCCTCATGTGTTAGCTCTTGCCATCACATCAGTTGCTGTTTTTTAGTGAAATAGCAAGAGTCATATTGCTTGTAAGTAGTAGAGCCCAAAGAGGAGAACTGAAGATTATCATGCTCAAGTAAGTCAATGAGCATTCATTAAGTACTCACTGTGTTCTGCTAACCACTGAGACTACGAAGGCAAAAATAGTACTTGCCCTCAAGGAGCTCATGATCTAATTGGGGAGACAACATGTAAATAAGTAGGCCATTCAAGATATGTAGAGCATGTGGAAGGTTGCCTTAGAGGGGAATGTGTGAGGAGGACCTGCAGAGGCATTATGAAGATGGTAGCTGAGTTGAGTCTTGAAAGAATCCCAGGAAGGTAAGATGCAGAGTTGAGAAGGAAGAACAGTCTAGGCATGAGTCCCAGTTAGAAGGAAGGCATGAAGATTGGAGATGCAATATCAGGTGTGAGGAAAGCAAATAGGCCAGTTTATGAATTATAAGGGAATAAAGTTGAAGAACGATGAAAAGTAGGATGGAGACAGGTGATGAAAAAGTTTAAGTGCCAAAAAAGTACTTCATATTTGATCTTGGAAAAAATAGCTGAGAGTGAGAGAGAGAGAGTGAGAGAGTGAGTCCTGACATTTAGAAAGATCACTTAGGAAGCTAACTGGAGGCTGGATTGGACTAGGTTAGTGCTTGAGAGAGGGATATATATATATATATATATATATATATATATATATATACACACACACACACACACACACACACAAGAGATGTTGAAATGAAAAGATTTGCTGGTAGATTGGATATATGAGATTAGTGAGAGTAAGGATTTGAGGATGACACCAATGTTGGGAAGATGGTTGTGCTTTTGATAGTAATATCAAATAAAATAAATAAAAGAAGAGAGGAGAGTGTGGAGGAAATATAATATGCTCTGTTTTGAACATACTGATTTTGAGATGTCTTGGGAAATCCAGTATGAGATATCCAAGAGATAAATGGGGATGTGGGACTATAGTTCAGGAGAGATTAGAATTAGATATATAGACCTGGTAATCAGTAGCATAAAGATGATAATTGAACTCATGGAAACAAATAAAATCAGTGAGATATAATATAGACTAGGGAAAAGAGAAGATGGTTCTGAACAGAGCCTTGATGGGGTGGGAAGGGGTGGGACACTTACTATTAGTGGCTGTGACATGGATAAAGAACCAGCTGGCACATGAGTCTCATATAAATGTTGTTTTTATTATTATTAAAAAAGAACCAGGAGTGTGCAGTATGGCAAAAACCTAGATGGAAGTATCTTTAGTGCAGAGCAGGATTGGCAAGTGTCAAAAATTGCTGAGAAATCAAGAGGAATAAGGTCTAATAAAAGGCTATAAGATTTGACAATTAAGGAATCACCTGTGACTTTGGGGATTGCAGCTTTAGATGTCTGATAAGATCCAAAAGTACAATGAAGAGGGTTTGAGGAGAGTGAGAGGGCAGTATGGAGGAGGCATCTAGTGTAGATAGCAGCAAACATAAATTATTTTTAATAGTAACATTTGATCATCAAATATTTTCATAGTAAAAATAGTAGTCTTTCTAAGTTTTCTTGTATGTTATTTCATACAAGAAATCCTATCTTTTGACTGTTACAAGTATCTTACTGTAAAGTACTGTAATACAGAATATGTTGTTCTTAGCAAGTCTTTTTTTACTCTAATTCTGTGTGTATTTTTAAATACAGAAGATCTATAATTCAGTCGATCTAATAAGCTTTTCTTAAGGCACAACTACGTGCCAGGTGATTTGTTAGTGCTAGGGGTTCAAATAAAAAGAATGAAGCAATTCTGACTCTCAAGGAACTTACAATCTAAGGAGACATTTGAAAGGCTGACAAAGTGGTTATCTTCTGTTTCCACACCCTGACCAGGTAACAACAGTAGCAAAAAAGGTGGCCATTTAAACATGCTCTTTTAAAGCCTGAAAGGATGTAGAACGGACAGAGAAAAGATTTAATAGGGCACAGTCTAAGAAAAAAATGGTGATTTAATGTAATACTAAATTCAAATATGCCATAGATATTTGTAAATGGAATTGAATCTGTGTCAGCCCTAAGCATTGCACGAAATGCAGAAATCACTGGGCAAAAGGAGAGCAAGCAATCTTGCATACTTCCCAGCTCCCCCTGACTCAGTGTCACAGCATTATTTTATTTGAGATGCACTGACTTCCCAGAACATCCTATTCCTCATCTCCAAAAGTAATTATTTGAACATATGCCAAAGTCAAGCAGAAATAATTTCTGTAATATTTATTGTTTTTTCAAGTATCAGTGCCAAAGCTCACCTCTATTATCATGGATAATTAGAATCAACTCTACAGTGACGTTAGCCTTTTCTTTTTGCCATTCACTTCCTGATAGTCATTTAGATACTGAAGAACTACATAATTCTTTGAGATTACAAGGGGGATCATTTGTGGTACTTCATTGGTAATATACTTACAGATTACATGTATCTAGTTGTCAGTTTTAGGAGAGTTCTAAGGAATTGAAATATACTGATACTGATCTGAAAATCGACCACTTCAATCCAACTAATTATTAATTAAATTTTAAACAGTGATTTTTATGGATCATCATTTAAAAACAAAAAAAATCATGCAACTTTCACTTGGCATGGCACCATGTTCCCTTACAAACTTTGTAGCAATCATGATTATTGTAATTATTGTATAAGCAATTATTGCAGCAATAATTCCCAAATTGCACTTGGGTATTATAAAGGTTTTAGAAAGAAAGTGTCCAATCTTGGCATATTGTCATAGACCTTATGTATTTTCATGTCTCTGTGTTTAATGGTATTGTTGATATTGGTATTCCCCATTGGAACAGTAATTAGATTTTGTGTGTATGTGTGTGCTTACAACAAGCTTCACAAAATGTATTTGGCTCTCAAATCAACTTTATGAGATTAATTGCATTTTTGAAGGGATAGAAGACAGACCCCAGATCCAGCCCTCCTGGACTAAGATCATGGGGAATAGCAGAGCAGGGAGGGAAATCTCACTTGGACAAAAGTAGTTAGGGGTAACAACAGGTAACACCTGTTGATGGGAAGGCATCGGGTAAGCATCGGGTAACACCAGGTAACAATAGTAGCACCTGTTGATATTGTTACCTGATGCCTTCCTATTTTAACTAATTACTTTTGCTGAGAAAGACTTGAGTTCAGATTTGACCTCAGACAATAGCTGTATGACCTTGGGCAAGTTACTCAACTCTGTTTGCCTCAGTTTTCTCATCTTTAAAATAAGCTAGAGAAGGAAATGACAAACCACTCCAGTATCTTTGCCAGGAAAACACCAAATGGGGTCACGAAGCTTCGGATAAGACTGAAATAACTGAACAACAATAAAAGAAAAGCTGTAGATACTAAACTCAGTTGTTTCTATAGTGCTGAAAAAGTTAGCACCTTCTAAATTAAGATGCCTTAGGAAAAAAAATGCTAGTAGTTGAACCTTACTTATGCTTCTTCTTCCCTACTATTGGGGGAGATTAGGAAAATACTTTTTCATCCATAGTAATAAGATAGCATCTTACGGATCTAAGCGTCTTCTAAGTGAAATATATTATGATAGTCATTGGGGAAATGTACAACTGCAGAAAACATAGTCCCTATTCTTAAAGGGTTTTGCAGGAAGTTAAAAATTTTTTTCTCCTCTTTGAAAAAAAAAAACATGTAAATATCAAGCCCCCACTTCCACCCTAATCTTTTATTCTGAATTGAACACTTTCCTGGGTATGATGGAAGTAAAGAAATGTGTATATATGTATGTATGTATATAATATGTGTGTGTGTGTATATATATATACACATACATACATACATACATACACATGACAAAAAAATCATTTAGGATTTTTTTTCTTTTTTTGTAGGCAGTGGGGTTAAGTGACTTGCCCAGAGTCACACAGCTAGTGAGTGTTATGTGTCTGTTTTTTATTTTTGTTTGTTTGTTTTTTGGTGAGGCAATTGGGGTTAAGTGAGTATTTTCTTATACAAAACTTTGATTAGGTAATCAGAGGTATGGTCAAATGCTGATGATTCTGCACTAGTGGAGTTGAAGATAATCCAAAAATCATCCAGATTTGGCTTTTGACCATGTCTTTGAGCTCATATTTACATATTAGGTTGTTAGGTCTATGATGGTGTCAAACTCAACTCGAAATGAGGCCATTATACTGTATGTAAGGATCCCTGTGGGCTGTATATTGATTTAGAAAATCACATTTTAACATCAGATACTATTATATTTTTATTTATTTTGTTAAATATTTCCCAATTACATTTTAATTTCATTTGAACTTCATTGAAACTGTTGTGGGCTGCATGCATCTCAGGGTGCATTTGTCACTTTGGGAAGCCAAAGCACTGAAGTTTTGTTATAGAAAGAACTGGGTACTGTCCCATTTTCCTCTCTTGTTGATCTTGTTTATCTCCTCTCTATATATGATAATGTGGGCCACTGCTGTCTTCTGGCCTCTCTTAAAACCTTATGGCATATCAGTTCCTCTTTGTTTGCTTTTAAAAAGCATCTCTAAAAGTTTTTTGTTTTGTTTTTATATCACATTAATTTTGTGCTGTACCTCCTTCCCATACTTACTTCTCTCTTGTAATGAAGAAAAATACTTAAGCAAAACCAACGGGCATTAATATATCTATGTCTGATGGTATATGCAGCATTCCACAGTGGAATCACTAGAGTCTGTGGGAAAAGGAGAGGCATTCAAAGCCTCTGGGGCATTGCTGGAAAGAGGGAGGCTCCTTTTCATTCCCTCCCTCCTCTGAGTGAATCCTACCCAGCCCCTACCAGAACCCTGCTCCTTCCCCTTTTTTTCCTGATATTTAGATACTCAACTCTTCTCTTTCCATTTTGGAATTTGCCTATGACCTTGCTAGTACAATGGGACTCAGGTGGTAAGAAGGCAGTGAATAATCAATCTCCTTGTAGATGATGAGATGGTGCTCTTTTGTATTTGTGTGTGGCTGGGTGTACAAATACACCAGTATCTACAAAATAGGAAAGAAGACCTTGGGAGTGAGTCAAAAATTGTTTTCTGTGAGAAGGCAGGAACTGCTTGCAATCTGCATCAGTGCAGGGAATAACAGTATTGATGAAAGTACAGTCCTTTAAAGTATAGAAGAAATGGCATGTGTGCATATGTATGCATGTAATTTATTGTGTGTGTGTGTGTGTATACACACATAAAGGTTTAGAGATTTGTTTTCTGTGTCTTTTGTTTCAGAGGAAAGAAATGACTGGATCACTATTCTGCTAAATGCACTGAAATCTCAGCCGCTTGCTCCTCAGTCTCGATCAGTTCTACCTGAGAAGTGTGGATATCTGGAATTAAGAGGATACAAAGCTAAAATTTTTACCGTGTTGAATGGAAGCAATGTGTGGCTCTGCAAAAATGAGCAGGTGAGCATTGTTAAAGTAATTATAAATTATCAACATCATTGTGGTAATTAGAAATTGCCATCCCTTGGTATGACATGAACAACTGCACTTTTTAACTGTCTTAGTCTTTACTGGCTCCTCGTATGAAGTATTCTTTGCCCCTTTTGTGAACATTCCACTAAAGATTTTTATAAACGCTTTTGTCTTCATTGTCCTCAATTTCTCCAGCAACAGGGAAGCTATTTAAAACACATTTTAGTCTGGTCATTACCTTTTCAAGAAGTGAATAGAAGAGAACAGTCAGAATTAATTTTTGAAAAGTAAGTCTTCAGCTAAAGCAACATAAATCCATCCCAAAGGGTAATTAAGAAGTGCTTAATCATTTCTTCTCAGATGCCAGCTGTTAATCAAACAGGCATGGTTCTGTGCCTGCTGTGTTGCCCATGTGCTCTAGTTCTATAGAAAAAAAAATGAGCATGCATAGATAGTTTCTGGAGTGCAACAAGTGTGTTTCCTTAACACATAAAACCACTAGTGGTCAAGGCTGTAGGAGACTGACTGAAGTTGGGATGCTTTTTAAAAAGCAGCATTGAGATGCTAGTGTTCAGTTTGATCTTTACTGGATTTTGCTATTTTAAAAATATATTTTAGGTATCTGTTTAAAGTAGCATTGAGGTCCTGGTTTTCTATTTGATGTTTACTGGATTCAGTTTTTAAATACTTTTAAAATACATTTTAGAGGTTCATTTTCTTAAAAAGAAGATTTAAATCTTTGTAAACTTTGATTTGATATATTGGTAACATAGGATCAATGATTTATAGCTAGAAGAGACCTTAGAAGCCATCCTCATTTTATAGATGAAGAAATTGAGGCTGAGATCGGTTAAATGACTTATTTGCGGTCTGATTAATGGGATGTTTGCTTGCATCCCTTCTCATATTTCCTGCAGTCAGGTGGCTCAGTATTTATTTTTTGCAGTTTAATTTTTTTTTCTGCATCTGCTCTAATTTAAAAAGTAACAACTGGTTTTCAATTGCATTCTTATAATTAAGAATTTTGTTTTTTATCTAGTTTTAGCTCTTTCATTTTCTTTTTCTTTTTTACCTTTCCCTCATCAAGGATAAATGTCAAGTGCTATATGAAATATTTTGTGAGGGTCAGAGCCTTTTGAGAATAATTATTTAATGTTAATTTTCATTTTAAAAAATGCTGGCTGTCTTTTTGGTGTTTACTTGATTGTTTTGTTAGTTGGGTTTTATTTTCATTAATGTCTGATTAATCTTTGATTTTTGTCCATATTTGTTGAATAGCCTGTCTGGTTTGTATGGCTGAAAACTTCTGCCTGCACCCTGAACTTTGCTGCCTCAGATTTTATATACCTTGATGAGGTCACCTCACATGTATATCAGACAAATTGCATTTTCAAGACACACTATTACTGTATGAATGCATATTGACTTCATTTTATAAAATTCGTTTTGTTTTCGTCTTCTGTTCTGCTGCCATCCGGTAGATAGAATGTGGACAAATAGATGACTATTAGATGCAGCCACGTGAGAAGAATGTCATTTCATTGCTATTTTTCTTCATCTGCTTTTATCATCTCTCTGTGGGTAGGGGGACCAGCTGTGTATTTGAATAAGCAGCTCTTTAAGAACCACCCAGCCTTTATGGGTTCTGCTAAATTGTGTCTGAATCTCCTGGCACCAATAGACATGATTCAAAGGGGAAAATACTGAAATAAGTTTCAAATAGGAAGATATATTAGAAATATTCTTTAAAATGGGAAAAAAAAAAACTGAGGAGAATTCTGGTAAACACAATACTCTAGAATCCAGTAGAGGGCCCTAGTGTTCTAAAAATCTTTTCTTTGGAAAAGGAAAATTGTTGTTATCCAGTAATTATGAGACAGATTTGCCAAAGATGTCCTAAAAGTCTGGTTATATTGGACATCATAACCATGCTAGCACTACTACCAGTGAATTTTCTGAGTTTTTTATTAATACAGAATGATAAGATGCTTATTTAGTCAATGTTAAGATGAGATAAAATCTAGATGATTTGCCTTTTTTCGTCTGTCCCTAATTAAATGTGAAACAGAACAAGAAATTGGGTAAGAGGGCATTATTCGACCCTTCCCATTTCCACTAACACTCTGTGAAACCAATAATGATTTCAGCATTTAGTGAGTACAGTAATACTCTATCTCTACATTAAAAAAAACCACAATATTAAAAACATTTCTTATTTGTATTTTAAAATAATGTAGATATTAAAAAATTTAGTAATGTATTTTCTTAGTCTTACCATGTAATTAGATATCTGTGATTATAGTCAGATAATTTAATTGTAATGATGCACTTGAAAGAATGTTTTCCTGTAATTTGATCATGATTCTTTAGTCTTACAATGCAGAACATCTAAAATTAAGCACCAGTCCAAGCTGTTGAGCTTTTTGTGTGTTGAGAGAGTAGAGGGACTGTCTCATTAATGTTTCCTTTTCCTTTTTTTAGGAAGGAAAAGTACAGGGGAGTGGAATGGCTTGTGTTATTTTCTGTAGATAAGGGTGTTTCAGATAAGATAGATAAACTAGAAGGGTAGAGTGAGAATTAGGTAAGTTTATCACTTAACCCCAATTGCCTAAAAGGAAAAAAAATACAAAAAAAAAAGAATTAGGTAAGTTTAAATGTTGGTTTATTAACCCTCAAGTGAACACTCACTGTGATTTCCCACCTGAAAGGAAGAAAGGGAGCTTTCAGACATCAGTTGTGTAATCTTTTTCTTCATGATTCCTTATCCTACGGAACTAGAGGAGACATGATTGAAAAAAGTTGCTTCAGAAAGTTGTATCATTCCTAACTACCTGTTCATTTTTTTAAATGATCGACATGCCCCTCGGAAATTTTTCCCCTTCTACCCCCATTCCCCCTTCCACCATTAGCTTTCAACTTAACCCTCCATCTGCTGGCATAGTTAACCCTTTCTTATAACAAAGAGAACAATTAAGCAAAACCAATTGAAACTGATCTTCTCTATCTTTATCTGCAGCATTGACCCTCATCACTATACTGAAAGGAGAGAGATATTTTTAATCATCCGTTCTTTGGAACCAAGATTGGTCATTGCTGTTACTTAGTCTGATTTCCTTTTAATGTTCTTTTTATGTATATTATTGTGGTCATTTTGTGTGCATCATTCCCTATTCTGCTTATTTCACTCTAGTAGTTCTAGTAGAAATGTAACATTTCATTACATTCGTGGGTCACAATCTGATAAGCCATTCCCAAGTTGGTGTTCAACTATGTTGTTGCCATGATTTTTGGTACCACAAAAATTATTATTAGGAATATTGTGGTTTATATATAGAAGTTGGTCTTTCTTTGGACTCCAGATTTGTGAGCAGTAACCTGATACTTGGATCAAAATTTATGAACAGTTTTGTGATATTTTTCGTATAATTAAAAATTATTATTGGGAATAGTTCCATCACTGCACAGCTTCACTAGTAGTGTTAGTATGCCTGTTTTCCTACATCTTCTCAACATTGACTACATCTGTCTCTTACCATCTTTGCCAATTAGATGGATATAAAATGGAACATCAGTTATTTTAATTTGTATTTCTCTTATTAGTAATTTGGAGCATATTTCTCACATGTTTATTGCTAGTTTTAATCCTTCCTTAGAAAATGATTTATTCTTAGGAACCCTTTTACAAGGTCAGCTATTTTCCTTAAACTAGGGGAATTTCTTTTTCCCTTTTGCAACCACCCAAGGCCTTTGTTCATTCTCACTGCTTGTAGGAGGGAAAGAGGAAGGGGTGTTCTTCAGCACGTGCCTGAGACAGTGTGTTGCTTGTTCCTTTCTATTAGCATGTTGAAATAATAATAGGATGAGAGATTTTTTTTTTTAGGCTAGGTCAAAGAGCAGCCCTGAAACCTTGCTATAAAATGCTGTCCTCAGAGATCTTGGCCATGGAATTGTATTATGGGGAAAATTGCTATAGCAGTATTTTTGGTACATTGGAAAACTAAAATCATTTGATGGATAGATCCAAGATAATTGCTGCAGTTAGTCAAGTTATAATCAAACTCAACTGCATTTTAGTTTATCTCATACCAAGTAATTGAAACCATCAACTTAAAACATTAATTCTAACTTAGGACACTATATGCCCTTAAGCCTCTGTATTCCAATATGAACTCATCCATAACATTTTCTATGTAAAATTTTCTGGCTAATTAAGTAGAGAAAGCATTATTGAATGGTATTAGCATATTAATAACTAAAACATTTAGAATATTCCTTAAGAAAAATGGTGACATACAGCTTAATAATGTATATAAATTGAAAGTGCTTCACTTTTTCAGCCTGTGAAGTCCAGTGATTAAAAATTTTCTTATCTATTTGAAGGTTAAACACATATAATTCGTATGTATTAGTATGGAAGTTACCATACCAAATTAATTAAGGTATTCATTTTAACATGTATAGACTTGAATACAGCCATACTTTTATTCCTTTTAAAGTATGCTTCAAATTATCAACTTTATTCCCTACTTGAGTTAGATTCTCGTGGGGCTTAGGTTACTCCCTGGGGTTTTAAATTGGCATTAACTCTTTTTTGCCTTTAGATAGCATTTACTGTATACAATTATTGCCTTGGGTGTGGAATTTAATCTTTACATTTTCAACATGTGAGGTAGACAAAGTATAAACAGCCTAAGGTTTCTTTGCCTAGATAATTTAGTTCTATAAGACTTCTAGAGTGCTAAACCACATTCTTGTAGCCTGAAATAGTCTATTAAACTTGTAAAAACACTTAATCACATAGCATAGTTTATACACTGGGCTCAGCATATTTTATAAATGTTATTTTCTAAAGGGAAAACAAAATATCACCAATAATAAACATTTTAGGAATACCTCCAGAGTGTTTATACTTCAACCTTCTGCAAAGCATTCTATTTCTTTAGGCAAGGCTTAGTCCATTACCCTTTCCATATTAGAGCTTAGTGAAT